ACACACACACACACACACACACACACACACAGCCGCACGGACGCACACACACATACAGCCGCACGGACACCATCGCGGGAATAGTTAGAGAAGCTTTCTCCTGCAGACATAGTGACATCCTCCTAGGAATAGTCAGAACTGCTTCTTGAGACCTCAAAAAGTGGAGATTTGATGAAAACTCGACATTCAAAAACTAGGGGTGAAACTAATAACTTCCCAATTTTTTTTAAATTATTGATGTTCATAGCGGAAAGTTATAAATATGGAACAATGAATTGTTTTTTTATTGTTATACCTGGTCAGCCATACAAACAGCTACGTAGCGACGTAAATCGATGTTTAGGAATGAGTTATCAAACTTTTCTAAGGTAATGTCCGCATTTAAAATCCACTGGTCGTACAGTAGTTGAGATATCGAAATCAAAAATTTATTTCTGGTTTCAATATTCCCATAACCATCATTAGGAATGTTTTGTTTGCTAACAATCATTCAATAATTAGATAGTTAATCGCTAAGAGAGTTTAGTAGCTACTTTGAATTAGATTTGTACCTGAGAATTGACAGCCCCCAAAACAACATATCCCATTCTTCCGGGGCAGGTATTACGACGACATCAATTTTTTTGAGCACATAATCTTCATGATGGATACCTGTAATATTTTCCATAGCTCTCCACGCTTTACCTCCAATGGTAGCGAAAAATTTTCGGTGGTTTTTAGCATTTTTTGGAGTCCATACACGGTATGCATTACTGTCATCCGACAAATATTCTAAGTCACCCATAGCAAAAGCTACCGTGCGTACGGATAATCTTGGAGTTTTTTCAAAATGCGTCCACACGTAATTAAATTTTTTTCCATCACTCATTATTGAATCGAACTGGGTATTTGATACGGCTGTATATTTACGATTGTGTCTAATGGAAATCTCAAAAGTAGCCAACGTAGAGGGATCGTCCCAGCATGGCATTATTTCACGGGCAAAATTGGTACCAAAATTTGAAAACAATAACCATCTATTCAAATAATAAAATGTTTATCATTTTAAATGAGATTATATTCAAAAATAAAGTGTCAGAAATGTACTCACTGTTCATCGTCTGACTCGTCATCATAAGTATTGTAAACTAAACCTTTTATAGGTCTAGTATTTATTTTACCGCTGTAGAATATGTACAATGTAAAATTCCCTTTGGGTAATTTTTCGTTGAATTTGATAGACAAAAAATCTGTTTTTGAATCAATCGAATAGTCTTGTGTTGCCCATTTACGGTTTTGGTCTCTGACGGAAACCTCTCCAATAATTTTGAGGTTTTTAGCGTTTAAAGTTAATACTTCAGTCACATCTTTGATTTCAAAATCAATGACCGATTCACCGTCAAAAGTTAAATTTTTTTCATCTTCAATATTTGGACTTATCTTAATTATATAATGAATTGGGGATGCAATATCAGGAAGAAGAGGAGGGTCGTCATCTTTTCTCCATTCTTTAGAAAGCGTTGAAGTTATAAAAGTTCCGCAAAGAAGAATTTCTATTAAAACATTTAAATCATTTTTTGAGTCAATCAACATTTCAGTCTGTTATTGTAGAAAATACATTAGTTAAAATAATTTACTGTGTGAGTCAATAAAATAAAACAACAAACTTACAATATTACTGGAAAAATTAGTTCAGGTATTTCTTGTATCAGCAAATGATTACTATGATGAACAATATTTTACTACTGTATTATATATCCATTCTGTGACCTCGACATGTGTCACACATTAGTGAGTCATGATATTTGTGCAAAAAACAATAAAAATTATGTGACTCATTTCGATAAAGCGGTGGAATATGCTTTTTTAGCCGATAAAAAAGTACTAACGTTGTTTGCAATAAAATTTTTTAACACTTCTTTAGCTATGAAATTAGTTTTTATTAAAAATTAATTATAATTTGATTTTGATGCTACATTTTCAATCCTTGGAAATTTTTCAATCTCTTTCTCAAAAAAAAAAAATGTAGATATACATACTATCTAAAAAATGTTGGCAAAATGATTTATCAATTTAACGCATAAAAAATAACATTACTCTTTCATAAATGCAAAAATGTGAGAAACGCAACAATACAGCAAAGCGTAGAGCACTTGCAAGAATTTCATATTACTTTACTCGCAATTCTGTAAAGCTATCTCAGTTATCTAACGTATCGCTGTCAGAGCGATCTAGCAGGTGGCTACAGTAACACTTGCTTGGTAGTTAATCGAGCTAAAAATAGTGTCTGATTAGCTCCATGGGAAGTAAAAAAAATTACTCGCTATAGCAAAGAATATAACGATTATTGATGTAGCATATGGGGGTCATTCCATGTCAAATTGACCCCTTTCGATTTGGATGAATTTTGGTCAGAAGTTTTCTTTTATCATAAAACGAAGTTCTGCCAAAAAAAAAAATAAAAAAAATTTTTTTCAAAAGATATGCAAATTCAAAATTTCGCGATTTTTCTAGTTTTTCAATTTTGTTTTTGCAATAATTCGAATGCTATTATAGATACAGGAATGGTCTTTTGTTTGTTTGAAAGGGGACACTTAGGGCCATTGAAAAAAAAATATTTTAGAAATAAACTTTGAAAAATGCCAAATTTGTCGAAATTTGAATTTTTGAAAATCGTCAAAAATGAAAAGCGCCATTAAAATTTTGGCTCAATTTTTTTTGTATGATACCTTGTACTGATCTTAAAAAATCCTGAAATTTTTGGAAAGGTGTTTTTTTTTCAAAAATATGAATTTTTGAAATTTGTTAAAAAAAAA